CATCGTGTTCTTATCCTTAGACTGTCAAAAACTCCCACAGTTTGCTATGCAAACAATGGTCTTATCATTAGTTTTATGACACATGTTCCTGGAACTGTGTGCCAAACAGTACTTATCCTGATGTTAAACCGTTTACAAACAAGGTTGATAAATCACAGCGGTCACCATCCGCCCATGAAGTTGGTACACAACTTCAAAATAAATGTCAGCTCATTTTAGGATCCTAATATGAAAGTTTCTATTGAGGGACTTTTGATGTGAAACAAGTGTTTTTTAAATCATCAGAACTGAACCAGTAGCATGTTCCGTATCATTTCACTCAAATTCAGTTTTACATTTCAGTGGTGTATATTAAATTATTCAGTGCTTTGATGGTGGCGTAAAGTTATTCAAACTTTTCTGTTTTTCCTCATGGAAAGTTTAGTGAGTGGTTTGTTCAGCACAAAATGCAGATATTGAAATGACTGGTAAGTGCAGCCACTTTTATCTCTGCACCTGTATTGTAAGTTCAACCTCGATGTAAAAGTTTCAAAACGTAGATCAACAAGGAAGTCCAGTCAGGAAAAGGCTGAAGTAATAAACACCTTGATGACGAAGGTGTGAACAGGTTAATACATTCACTGAAAGTAATCTGTGGGTAATTGGCCACTCACTGAAGGAATCTAGCGTGAGATTATAAGTCAAGCGTGACCAGTGATTTAACGGTTAGGTATTTGTGTGTGTGACAGGGAGGGGAGGTCAGTGAGCTGTGACCAGTGATTTATGTGTCAGCTGCAGGCTGTACAAGTTGTGCCCTGTGTCACCACCAAAGGGAAGGACCTTGTACCTTTGATGTACCTGGCTGGGGGGAGGGATTTGTGTCTGGGGAGGGAAAGGGTGTCTGTAGCCCTGGGATCTTCAGTAGGCCATTGTCAATAATGGTTTAGGGATTGTTGAATTTATATATTGAAAACCTTTCATCTGAGTGATATGATAATGTGGACAAATTTGAAGTGGTTTGTTTACTGACAAAGGGTTCTAATTAAAAGACATTTTAGTGTTGAGATATGACAGGGGGAACATTTGCTGATTAGAAATATTAATTATTACAATTCATTGCCTTCTGTTTAAAGTCATTGGCGACTATTACACTGTTGAAGCTGTCATATCAAATGATTGTCATCTTCCATAATTCTGTGTATTACATCTACATCTGTTTTGATAAATAGCAACCCATCTTTGGACACTATGCTTGTCGTAAGAGGCAACTAACGGGATCGGGTGGTCAGACTCGCTGACTTGGTTGATGCATGTCATTGTATCCTGACTGCATCTATTGCTCATGATGTCAATCACTATATTGTTTGATCCAGACTCAGTTATTTGCAGACCGCCTTCATACAGTTGGAATGTACCTCAGTGTGACATTAAACTACAAACAAAACAAAACAAAACAAAACAAAACAAAACAAAACAAAACAAAACAAAACAAAACAAAACAAAACAAAACAAAACAAAACAAACAAACAAACTCTGGACCCATTTGTCGCCATAGCTTCATTTGGGAAGTGATGTCACAACCTCCATAGCTCCCATCTCCACCTTACCGCAGAATTCCTTAGCACAGAATATGGTCTCTGATTGGAGGGCTATTTTAGCATGCAATTTTGCATCAGGCTCAATGCAACACCATGGAAAAGAATGGGTCAAGGTATTTATCGTAATAAACTGGGGATATAATAAGCTGGATAATAGGGGATGATTGATTCTTGTCTTTGTCATCATTTGTGATTAATGACAAAGAGTTTGAGATCATGAGGAACATGTCTGCAGGGTTGGACAAGGCCACAAGTTAACTCAGAGACTGGTGAGTTTCTACAGGGACATATGTTTTCCCCCGAAATCTAAATATTTTACATAAACCACTAGTCTGAAATGAGCTACAGCATGTAAAAATCCAGGTATCGTTTGTAAAAATTGGCTTCATGATACAACACTTGTATCCACATACAAGGAATCTTGGTTACAGCCTTAACCTTGTTAGCTCAAGAAATGTATCATTAACAATAGACGAGGACCCTTGAAAATACTCATTTGGCTTTGTGTGAAGTGTTTGTTACTTGGGATTTTGTGTTTTGAATGATATAAGGAATCTGTTCCGAAGAATGACCTGCTTCTGACCTGGTGAGAGTACAGTCAACCTTGCAATCAGTTGATCCTTGCTGTGGGCAATTTGTTTCTCTAACTAAACATACAATCTGCGTCATGGAATCCCCAGTTTCTCCTGTGCTGGTGGCCATAGAATCTGGAAATGAGGAGCGGAGGCGGAGTGATAATTTGATGAGTTGCCCATCTTAGGGGAACTCTGTCTTTATGGTTTCTGCTTTTTTTCCCAATAGAAGGTTGTCTTTAAAGCCAGTACTGCTGTCTCAGTCGTTGAGTTCTCCCATCTCTCAAAGATTGATCTGTTCTGCAGGGATTGTTCTGATGCTATTTTCGCCCCTTGTGGTTTACAGCGAAGACCTGTTCAAGGAGTAGTGCCAATGTGCATTACAAAACAGAATTAAAATAGTGTTAATAGATGTTATGATATGTGGACTGTTCAAGTACTGCAGTTACAGAACCATAGGTTCAAGTGTCTATGGTTATTTTTGTGATTCGATAAGCAGCAGTGCCAATGTTCATAAAAAAAAGAATTAAAACTAAATAAAAACAGTAATGTTAAAAGAATAAGAGATTTTATTCTTTGGTACATGATGATTTACAAGTACCTATAGTTCATATATACTAAAAAGAAGTTAAGGATCACCTGATTCTTTCATATTACAATAGTTAATCTCTCATGCCATGACAGATTAACATTACCAATATGAAAGAATCGGGTGATCCTTAATTCCTTTTGAGTAGTATATGATAAGGTTGAGATCCCGACTGATACACACATGTATCAGTGTTCGAAATACCCCTGAAAGTAAAGGTGTTCTTGTCATAACTCCAGTGTTACAAGTTACACATTGAAGTGGATCCTAGAATCAAGTGCTGCAACAGCAAACCTCATGGGCACCAGGGCCCCGTTTCACAAAGTGATCTTAGCGCTAAGGTGATTTTAACTACCACACTTTAACATTGGCTTACGATGGTCGTAACACTAAGGTCACTTTGTGGAATGGGACCAGGAGACACCTTCATTTAAAACATTACAGCTTGATGCATGTATGATGCCTCCTTTAGTTCTCATGGTTACAGGATTTGAAAGCTGAAGTAATCTGGTATTATTTATTACTTGGCATCAGCATATGTTACATGCATGATGGTCAATTATAGAATGAAATACAAGAACCCAATAGGGATTCAGTGTACAGTTACTACAATACTCCTGTCTCCTCATTAATGAAATTAGTATGAGTGGTGTATGTTTGTTTGGGGATGTAAGGGCAGGGATGGGGAGGGGTTGAAACTGTGGACCACCAGTGAAAACTGACTGATCTAGACTGCACAGACAGATCTGCCAACTTGATTGACCACTTCAGTTCTTTCAGTAGGCCCACTTTTTTAAAGCATAATTTATGATGTAGCAGAAAGACCATGCTAGTTTGACTCACTAGGACATCACACAGAGGTTAAAGCAGGGCTTATCAGTACATCTCATCAAAGAGTTCACTAAGAAATAGGACTGCTATATTGTTGATAGAAATATGATTATTACACTTTGAAAAATATGTGCATTCAACAAACTGATATTTTGTCAACAAGGAAAATAATAGAAAGTGTTGATAGAAATATGATTATTACACTTTGAAAAATATGTGCATTCAACAAACTGATATTTTGTCAACAAGGAAAATAATAGAAAGTGTTGATAGAAATATGATTATTACACTTTGAAAAATATGTGCATTCAACAAACTGATATTTTGTCAACAAGGAAAATAATAGAAAGTGTTTGTAAAGACCTACCATGATTTGATAATAGATAATATATTTCCATGATTATTCCTTTCAATGACTCATTCATTTATCATGTTTATTGTGTCCTATTTTAAATACAATCTCTGAAGCAAGCATCATTCATTGATGTATCCACATCAATACTTCGTCCATTAGTCCCAGCCCTACAAGGACCTGGTTGTCCATTACATATTACTGTCTGTAAGAACGGAATAATTGGAGATCCTGCTCCCCATAGCGCCAGCCATATCTGAACTAAGCTGTTGTAATCATCAGAAGAAGACCCTGTGGAGGTGCCAGGTTACAATTGCTCCCCAGCAACCTTGCTGGTCGTAAGAAGCGGCCTAATGGATTGGGTGGTCGGTGACTCGGTTGATTGCATGTCATCGTACCCTGACAGTCTTGATCGTTGTTCACAATATCGACCACTGGATTGTCTGGTCCAGAACATTTACAGGTCATCGTCATATAGCTGGAATGTTGTTGAGTTTGGCATTAGACAGCAAACAAAGAACCATTAACAGAAAACATAGAGAGTTATGATTACCTCAGTGATTGCATCCTGGAAGTCTTCTGATAGTTCTATGTCTCTAAGCAGATCTCTTATGATGTTCTTTTTAAGATAACGGTTTGCCCATACTCTTCCTCCTTGTCAAAATGCATCAGTCTTGTCAATTTAGAAAGGAAACAATTTGGTTAAGAACAGGGTCATAAAAATATTTGAGTCTGATACAATTTGGTGGGTCAGTTGTGCACGAGTTTACACCGCATTTAAGAAATGTTTGTTGAGATCAAGCATTTTGTATCTTGCCTTTGATGTCAGTGAAACATGACATGTCAAACAGATATATGCTGTATGCATGCTTGCAGTGTCATGGCTTTGGTGTGAGACGGCTATTATGCTGAGTTGTATGGAAAATAGTTTCATCAATACGCCTTTGGGATCAATGTTTGATATGAGTAAAGTAGGGGTTCTAAGCCCACTACATGTGCCGTTATTAAATGGTCTTGGTTTGTCATGAAAACAAATTGATAAGTTGACTTTGATTTATATGTCATGTTTTATGTTTCAGGCATTTGGAAATGCGAAAACAGTCCACAATAACAACTCCAGTAGATTTGGGAAGTTCATTCAAGTCAACTACAAGGAGAATGGCATGGTCCATGGGTAAGTGTTCATCAGATAAAGTTTTAAAATACATAATGCAGCCTGTCTATCTACATATTGGGAGCACATGTGGCCCTGTGGTCTAAAGTCTTAGCTGTGTCAGGCTGCTAGTATTGGGTCCTCCATGCTGAGTGGTTTCACTTAAGTGGTAAATGTCTAAGGCTTTCTTCCCCATGAAGATCCGGGTAGAGAATAGGTCTTCAGCAACCTATGCTTGCTGTAAGATGCAATTATGCTTGTCGTAAGAGGCGACTAATTGGATCGGGTGGTCAGGCTCGCTGACTTGTTTGATGCATGTCATTGTATCCCAAATGTGTAGATCAATGCTCATGATTCAATCACTGGATTGTCTTGTCCAGAGTTGATAATTTACAGACTGCTGTCATGTAGCTGGAATATTTCTGAGGGCAGTGTTAAATAACCAAAAAAACAAAAAAACTTTAGGCATTCTTCTCACATCAAGCTGAATTACTGTTCAATGCTGCATTAAAACAAACTCACTCACACACTAACCAAAAATCCCCCCCCCCCCCCAAAGAGGAGACTCTGGTTATATCAGGCCCAGGAGGTCAGCAGACTCCCAGGATAAAGGAGCAGTAAGCTGTGCTATCCTAGAAGTGATCTTTGATGTAGATCATGTATGGCTAGCTGAAGCCTCATCCCCAGCCGAGCCAGTTGAGCCAGACTAATATGAGAGGCAGTGACAAGGTATGAGAGCTGCCTGGCCTGAACCTCCACAGCCATCACCCCAGCCCATTCATCCTGTAATCACCAGTAATGAGATTACGCCATCCAGGTTCTGGCAATGCATCAGATTATTAGATTAGTGAAAGCATGGAGAGGGGAGAGATATAACAGTGAGGATGTGTTTGGGTCCTCTGCCTTTGTTTGATGTTGGTGGGTAGATTGAGTTAGGTGAGGTATTTACCCATGACCTTGTCAACATAGCTGTGGTAAGGAGACAGATATTACGGCATGTGTTTTATGATTTTTTTTTTATGGAAAAGAATAAGGACTTGTCTGTTGAGTTAGATGGAGAATTAATGATGGCAGAAAGCTTTAAAATGCAACAGCACAGGAGTTATGTCAGAGAGGGATTTTTTTTATGTTAAATTGCTTTTCAATTTTATTTTTCAAAAGTTATAAACGTGAAAGGAAATCATGTCTGTAAACATGTTATATAAAAAAAATTCCGTCACTTTGAATTACACTTCAAATAAATCTATTCAAGTTTGTATTTAGATTCTGTTAATAAGGATTTGGTACAAAGTGTCTGAGCTGTTCTTATCAAGAAGAAACGTTGCAGGTTATTATGAACTTTTCAGCTCTATTCTGAAAATTGTTCCATTGCATGTTTTCATTAAGAAGCTATTTTCATGGACCATACCATGTTAGATATCTCTTTGAGTATCAGCAGCTAAGTCTAACCCTTAATTGCCATAAGACATAATCATTATCATTTAAAGCTATTATTGCATCTGCCAAAAAGAAACGAAGGAAATATTTGTGAAGTTTTGTGGGTGTGGATAAAGGGGGCTTGTAGGTGTGTGATTGTTATCTGCATGGAGGTTGACACACAGCCAGCAATAGGCTTCCTGTCACTAGACACGGGAGTGTCTGACTCACTGCTAGGACGTAGGATGCAACATGGTTGTAGGTGGAGAGAACTGTGCTGGGAGGGAGTCCTGTTGTTGTGTGGTGCAGTCAGCAACGTTCAAGTCTTGGCATGTAAACCAGTGGTTTATACCATAAGCAATGATCCATGTAATCAAGGTACAATGCTATATAATCAGTCAGGTCACAGACTTTCTTTACCAACCAATCCTCATTTAAGTTGGCAGTTGTGACAGGCATGGGGTCACTAGGGATCTGTCATGTCAGCGATGTCCATGGGGTGACAGATGTACTTGGATTCCCATTAGGAAACAAGATTGAGGTTCTGGGGAACTGATCTGCCATTGAATCATTGGGCTGGGGATAAGCATGAAATATGGGGGACCTATTGTATATTGGAATTCCCAAGGGGAGACAAACATGGCATACTAGGGACCTATTCTGCCTCGGAATCCCAAGAGGTACTTCATTGAATAAACCAGCCTCTGCAATTTGGTGCTCCATATCAACCAGTTGTAAACTTGCTGTAAGACAAGTACTGGCGTGATTTTGGCAATAAAATTCTTCTGTTATTTCAACTAGTCCAGTTAATGGCCTTGTTTGTTGTCTTGAGAAGTAATTGATATTGAGAGTCTCTCAACATACACATCTCAGTGTACAATACAATGTATGCTGTGCAGTTGTTATTTACTGTTTTATTTCCCAGGCCAGTTCCATGTCTATATTTATGTAACAATAGCAGTTGTTCAGCAAGCAGCTCTGAAATGTTTTACAAACATTATTTTCCCATTCAGTACAATACTCAGAGCTCCAGATAAGCTTTTGGTGTTGTGGGTATTTTACCCATGCATTTTAAAATCACTGTGTATCAGTAATTCTATCTGGGTATTCAAATTTCTGTTACCCACTAGTTTTTACACATGTGGGTATTTAAGTTAAATATTTAAAAACACTATTCATCTAGTCCCTGCAAACTGGTGTTGTGTGGGTTCGAGAGCTTTATAGGACTCAAAAATACCACGATACTTCCACAAGTGTGATGGCAAATGATCATGATGTAACTGTCATCATGGAGTTTGGCAAGGTTGACGGAATGCCTGTTTATAATTATCCCCCGCCGCGCGAAAGCGCGAAGCGGGGGATATAGTATTCACGACCGTCCGTACGTACGTCCGTACGTCCGTCCGTCCGTACGTCCCACCTGTTTGTTGCCGCGATATCTCAAGAACTAAACACTGGATTGTCTTCATATTTGGAACTATGGTGTATATACAGACTCCGCAGACACCAGTCGATTTTGGTGACCTTGATCCCATTTTCAAGGTCACAGCAGACAAATCTGCTTTTAGAGTTGGAAAACGGTGTTGCCGCGATATCTCAAGAACTAAACACTGGATTGTCTTCATATTTGGAACTATGGTGTATATACAGACTCCGCAGACACCAGTCGGTTTTGGTGACCTTGATCCCATTTTCAAGGTCACAGCAGACAAATCTGCTTTTAGAGTTGGAAAACGGTGTTGCCGCGATATCTCAAGAACTTAACACTGGATTGTCTTCATATTTGGAACTATGGTGTATATACAGACTCCGCAGACACCAGTCGGTTTTGGTGACCTTGATCCCATTTTAAAGGTCACAGCAGGCAAATCTGCTTTTGGAGTTGGAAAACAGTGTTGCCGCGATATCTCAAGAACTAAACACTGGATTGTCTTCATATTTGGAACTATGGTGTATATACAGACACCGCAGACACCAGTCGGTTTTGGTGACCTTGACCCCATTGTCAAGGTCACAGCAGACAAATCTGCTTTTGGAGTTGGAAAACGGTGTTGCCGCGATATCTCAAGAACTAATCGCTGGATTGTCTTCATATTTGGAACTATAGTGTATATACAGACACCGCATACACCTGTCAGATTTGGTGACCTTGACCCCATTTTCAAGGTCACAGCAGGCAAATCTGTTTTTGGAGTTGGAAAACGGTGTTGCCACAATATCTCAAGAACTAATCGCTGGATTGTCTTCATATTTGGTACTATGGTGTACAGGCGGGGGATATTTCGTCACTCTGTGACAAATACTTGTTTCAAAATAAGTTGCTGATTTGCCAATCGAATACGCAGGGTTACTTCACAATATTTTGAATATACGCACAAGTTTTATTTTTGTAGCGTATCTGCAATGTTCGTTGCGTATTTGATACGCTTGGATATTATTTTACTGCGTATTTCTGCATTTCTGATGCGTTTTTTTACGCAGATACGCAGCTTATCTGGATCTCTGAATACTGGTGATTTAATTTCTGATTGTATCAAGAATTTAGTTATTTGTGTTTTAGCCTGTGATTTAAAACTAATGTTGCCAAACAAAATTGACAAGAAGATAATGTGTTTCATCATACATGAATCTCTGTAATAACTGATCTGAAACATGATTGCTTTGATCGTGACTGACATCAAATGATTTCCAGTTGATGGCAATGCTTCAAGTGTACAATTTGACAGTGTGTAATAGTCTGTATCTAGTAATTGAATTGAATCAGCAGATATCATTATGAACCACAACATTATAAGCCATTACATGATATTTTTCCCTGTCTTTGCAGAGCTATTGTAGAAAAATACTTACTGGAGAAGTCTCGGATAGTTTCTCAAGCAAAAAATGAAAGGTAAGTACATTTGTTTCATCTGTGAATCTGCATTATCTCCTCTGTGCCTCATTAAGACTCAAGTTGTGTGTTCTTCTGGTGACCATACAAACAGGTGTAAAGATATATTGGTGACAATAATCAGAGACTGATATGTGTCAGTTTTGGAAACTCAGCAGAAAATGTTATCAGACTGCAATGAATTTTAAAAAAAGACTGTCATAATTTAAAAAAATATCCAGTTATTTTGAAACCTAACCAGACTGAGACTGGTGGGCGGAATCCTATTTGCAACACTGATAGTACATTGGTTTCCCATGGCCTTTCCAGTACACAAGGGCTGGGATGGGTAACTCGGGTACTCAGGTCGGGTTGCTACTGAGAAGGACCCGTGTACCCACAGGACTACGCGGACCCGGGGTTAGTCACGTGATATATTGTTTCATGACAAAAAATTCACTGTATAATTACAGGGTTACACAACAGTTTTAAGTCTCTATTGTTCACATTTCTTTATGACTATGAACACGTTTCTTCTGACTTATAGATATATGTTTGAACAAAGCTAAAACTTCAGTAAACTTCAGTGTATACATTGTTTTCTATGTGTATCTAGATACATTCTGCCAGGGCTACTGTCAAACTATTCCCAATCGGACATTTTGTACCTGTCTCTTGACATCAACAGCGGGTACCCAGGTAGGGTCGGGTAATAGGGGTGTGGGTACCCGGGTAGTAAATTTGAACTCGTCCAAGCCCTACATTACACGTGTCTCACAGCGTTGTATAGTGTAATCTCTACTGTAATGTTAGTTGGATATATTTGGTGCATTATGTGTTTGACAGAGGTAACACCTCTTTTGTTTCAGTACGTTCGCAATGCCCTTTTCATTGCAGTGTACCACTATTCTTGTTTGGTTTGCCAAGTTTGTATCAAAGGACCAGTTTTGTAGCATTTCACCAATCTTGTGTCAAATCGAGGGCATATTATATTTTGATATTGTTAGTCTTATGTTATACAGTTTCTGCTCATATATACTGGGGGTTCTTTAACTTCTTTTGAGTAGTATATATCGCTACTCTTGAACACAGTGTCGCAGTTTGTTATCCTTCTATTATGAGTGAATGCTATGTAAACGCTATGTAAATCAAGGTACAGTGTGATGGAGTTATTTGCCAGCCAAATTCACTGGACCATATGATAGTGATGTACATTCCTCAGTTGTGGCCTCCTTGTACATGACTTGCTGACGTCTATTCATTGCTAATTGATATGTTGGCGATGTCAGTTTGACATCTTGTAATGTTGGAGGCTTATAATTTCATATCCAATGCATGGGGTGGCAGGCACCTTGATATGTTCAAAGTAACTTGCCGACAGTGGGGCATGTCCTTTTCTACTCTGGTTCTGTTTGACTGTTGAAGTAAACCCATGAACCTGTGATAGTTTAAAGAGATTAGTTAATGATGTCAATGAGTGATGTAAGTGCTAGCTAGAGGCTGTATGCCTAATGTTAAATATATGCCTACAGGGTATAGAGTTCTAGAACTGCTCAAAAACTGATAATTTGCAGTGATGTTTAGTCCACTAATCCTTATAATGATAACATATAGCAAAACCCTTAAAAATGGCAGATTTCTACTAGTCCTTATGATACCTTAACATGTTAACTATTGGGCAGTTTGGCAAGGACTCTAGGACTAGTGCCAATTTTGACAATATAGTGCCTGTTTGACCTATTAACTAACCATTACCACTGTTAATATCATTTTAGTTCTGTCAGTTTTATGAACACTTGAAATGCTTATTTGTAATATTTTCTCCTCATGTATCACGCCAGGGGGTTTCTGGGTTAGAGTGGAACCCAAGCAACCTGTGTTGGTTGTATGAGGCCACTTCATGGAATGGGTGGTCAGGCTTGGTGAATGGGTGTCTTCGTTTGCATGGATTGTGTTTATGATATCAATCATTGGATTTCCTGATCCAGACTCAATTATGTACAGGTGACCATCATATATATTGAATATTACAGAGTGCAACGTTACGGAACAAACTATTATTTGGTATCCAGGAATGAGATTTTTGGTCAAACTTTCTGCAGTTATCATGGCTCGATTTTGCTATATATAACATGCACCAGTGCAACCTATTATTGAAAAGAGCAACCTAATATTTATTTCTATGTGTTTAAAACATTCAAATTTGTGTCTGACCCTTACTTTTCCACACAACAACGATCTTTGAACTACATCTTTAACTCCTGTGTGATAAGACAAGCCATGAGAAGTGATTAGGCTTACCTGATAACGAATCATGTATATGACTTCAATGACATGTAATCACTCACATAACTAGATGTGTTCAGCCTGTTTTCCGTGTCCATCTTTATACCCAAATGGCCACCTTGAACAATGGTGAACGACCTTGAACTCTCATGACAACGTGAGAGTTGTACCACCATCGGCTTATTCCAAGATAATAAAGAAAGCTAAAATATCATAATCTATGACTACATCGATTGCAGATAAAACTCTTTTTGATGATGTCTTCGGATCATGTCAGTGACAGATGTTGGAGTAGAGGCTCAGTGGTTACGACACAGTCTTTTTTTTAAAAGTTTCTTGTCATCTTCTGTCTATGCTGAATGAAGACAAAGTCATAAAGTTATTTATTAGTTAACCAAGTTATAAATAATCAGCCCTGAATATGGACTCGTTGAATAGATGCATGCAGCCTGGAGATAGAGACATATAATATTACTATGTTTTTATGTAGAGATTGCTACTGGCATGAGTATTAATCAGACAAAGTATTAATAACTACTCCTTGCTTCCGTAAAAGGGGTGTTGACTATCTCATCATGACTGTCCATGTGTAGACTAACATTTAGTCACTCACTTCATTTTAAAGACTTCATGTTGATGATTGACCTGTGAAGATCCGGGCACAGAACTGGTCTTCAGCAACCCATGGTTGCTGTAAAAGGTGACTACCTGTATGCTTGTCGTAAGAGGCGACTAACGGGATTGGGTGGTCAGGCTCGCTGACTTTGTTGATGCATGTCATTGTATTCCATTTGTGTAGATCATTGCTCATGATGTCAATCACTGGATTGTCTGTTCCAGACATGATTGTTTACAGACCGCTGTCATACAGCTGCAATATTGCTGAGTGTGGTGTTAAACAACAAACAATCAATTATTCAGTGATATGAATGAACTTCTTGCACACAGACGGATTTGATTCAGTATGAACCCCAAATACAAACAATTTAATATAAGTTTTTGTGCATACAGGATTAAGTGACAGATTGCTTTTATTTCACATAGTACAATTAAAGATTCTGAAATTAAAATTCTGTAGATTTCTAATAACCACAGTGGTGCAAGAGCTGATACAATTCCAACCTGCATTAACTGTTATTAATCCATGATGGTCACAAGTATGAAACCATACATGAATTTCATGTAAGGGACATTGGAATCAGTGTAGGATTCCAGTGATATGAATGCCCTGCCTTGTCAGACCTACGTCGCCCTGGAGGCAGGTCAGGTCACACTGTCTTTGCACAAGGCCTGACTATCTGCCAACTCTCAGACATGTAGGCAGATCAAACTCCAATAAGGAAGTATTGTTGGGATTCAGTCAGTCCCTGGTTAGGCAGATTGATACAGATGCTTGTCCTTATTTGGAAAAAGCATGTTTTCGTCAAGTCTAGGTTTTATTCAATTCTACTGTTATTTGATCATTGCTCTTCATGAAGGATTATAGCACCCAGGAGTGCTCCACTATATCGTTGGTCCTTTGTCAATTTGGTTTGTGTGAAATTATATTAGTTGTTTTTCACAGCTGAACTTGAACCTATTATAGCAATGGCAGATGTGTGTGGGCGAGTGTGAGTGGAACCCCAGGTTTTTATTGTTGGGCGTAACCCGCAGTGTTGTCAGACGGACCCTGGATGTTTGGTTGAGTCAAACCAACATTCATAGCAGCCCAAAGGAAGGAGATATTTTTACTGGGAAACTGCCCCAGTGGGGATGCAGGGATGGTATTGGCCTCAAGTTCCAAATGTTTGTCATTAGAGACTACTGAAACAAGGATAGAAGTTAATACTGGCCTGCCAGACCAAGACCGATAAAAAAGATATCATTTGGGGTCATGGAATTTTCTATCATCTAGTATGTTATTACAGTCCAGCTGTAAGACCTTTAAACTTGTAGTTAATCTGGGATTGATGGGGATCTGATAACAAGGGCAGAGTTGGAGCAGATAGGTTCACAAGAGATGATTGGCTCTTTGCATGGCTTGCTTGGTGTGTCATCAAACCCTGATAACAGGGCACAATCTGATCTTATTATTAATAATTCACCGGGTCTGCTCTCACTGAGTGATGCCTCACATGTTGACTGACTGAAACCATAGTGGCTCTGATTGACAGAATACACATCCATGTAGGATTTACAGAATACACATGCAACACATACAACAGTATGACAGTTCCGATCCATTTATAGTAAGGAAAGCACAAAATAAAAATATTCAATGCATCCTGCCATGTTGAATTTTACAGCGGTTTGGCATCCAGGACGTGTCATACACGTAAGCGTTCAAGGATTTGGTTCAGTGCATGGCACAATATGGCCTCTTGCAGAATGGACACATCCTCGGTCACCTTTCTGTATTCTGATTTGGCTAGGGTACATTTCTGTATACAGAAAAATACCTGGGTACATATCTGTAGTACCTGTGAGACCCTTTCAGCTTCAGTAATGTGTTCATATATAAGCGACAGGTTTATTTATTGTGAGCAATAGCATCATCATGGTGGCATTATTATCAAGTTGCACCCAGAGCATCTTACACCCTCTTTTTTTACACTCTTTAAAGGGTTAAACATTATGTAATGTTAGTCATTTCCAGAGTTATAACAAATGATCATGGAGCATGTGGTGAAATGTTGATAAAGAGGTATCCATTTCCATGTGTTTTGGTTTCAAAATGTTTTAGTCTGTCAACCTTC